TCCTTGATCTTCTGTGCTGTCCCTCCTGTTTTCCAATGTGTTTCTCTTTAGAACCCATTTCTCAACTACCCAAGATGGGAGCATGTTTGCATTATCAAGTGCAAAGCTGTGGAGGAGAGGCAGGTACCTCTGTGAACATGGCTGGGGAGGCAGGAGCATAGGACTTTCTCTCCAGGTGCCTCAGAGGCCGAGGAAGAGGCACATTCACCTGCTGATTTGGGGTTTCCCTATTGCTCTTGACTGGGGAGGGGATGCACTGTGCAGAGCTGCAGCGTCGTGCCCATGGGAAGGTGCTGGAGAGGGCAGGGAGGGTGACTGGGTGCCAGTGGCTCTGCAGCCTGCTTCACTGCCTGCCCAACACATCAAGGAGACAAGGATGAGTTCAGATGCAAACCCAGCCCACAGGGCTCTGCCCTGACTTGATGGGATTGGGTGTTTTTGTGTGTGATATTTTTCCTGATGACTGATCAAATCTCCTTCATTGTGGCCATTGAGCTGCCCATAACAGAGCCTCAGTGATGGCCAGGACTTGGAGAAGGTTTGTGCTCCTGTTGCATGAATTTGTATTGCAATTACCTGACCTGATTAGGTTAATTATTTCCAATCTTTATATACTCTCAAACTGAATGAGCAATTCAGGCCATAGCCCTGAATCATTCTTGGCTGAAATTGTAATGTACTGATGAAAGAAGCAGTGGCATCAACACACATTGCACCTCCCTGTAGTCTGCTCCTGACAATATCTCCGGTTTCACAGTTAATATGACAGACAAAGAACTATGGAGTAAAAACTGCACGTACTGTGTTACCCTTTTCTGAAAAAATTCTTCTCATTTTATGCTATATCATGTCACAAACATTTAGTCCTCTGCCTACTAGTTTTAAGGTATATTTGAGTCAAAAATCTCTGTATATGTGAATAGATGGGCTACTTAGCTGTGTGCTCTCTTAGATGTGCTCTCCCTGATTTAACTATTATTTTTTGGGATTTCTTTTTATTCCCCCCTTCTGCTAAATTCAAGAGCTTTTCCTCTTGGAATTTTCTAACATCAGCAATAATCTGTATTTTGCTATTAATATCTGGTACTGATTAGCCCATCATTTGTCAATGCCATATTCCCTTAGTATGAAGATCTTAGCATTTTGATATGAAAATTTCATAGTTCAGCTGAGAGGCATCCCATTTGTTGCATTTAGTTACTGGTTTCTGTTCTTACATTTTTATTATTGTGTCCTTCCTTAATAAGATTTTAGGTTTTTAAGAGTATAGTTGCTTTTCTAAAGTCTAAATGTCCTATAATAAAACATTTCTCAGAGGAAAAAGTATTTGGTAATATTATTTTCAGGCGTTGCTCTGAAAATTAATATGATGCCAACATAGTTGGGCTCCTCCTTTATCCATTAGATTGTCAAAGAAACTGAGGGAGCTGTGTGCCTCCTCACAGGGGACCCCCACAGCCCCCATATGAGGCACAAGAATATTTTGGCCAAAATACTGTACCACCTCTGAAAAATGCCTGGACTTGAAGTGACAAAACATGTTTCCCTGCAGACAAACCAGTTCTAATAGCTTTTTTCTTAAATGGCGTTTTACCTGCTCTGTCTCAGCAATGGGATTCATAAATATTTCAGTCATTCATGACCCCAGAGCTGAATTTCCAGGCCGAGGTGAGTTATCTTCTGTGTGTGTGACAGGGGATGTGGGGTGATCCATCCGTGGCTCCCAGCTGGGTTCTTCCTCCTCGCCCCTCACAGACCCACTGACCGTACCCCACGTGGCAGCACTTGTGTTACCTGGGGGAGCAGTGGCCACACCTCCAGCACCAGGCACCACTCAGCAAACGGCTCCCAGCAGATAAATACTGGTGCAGATTTCACCCTTGAGTGAAATCAAATTGACTATGAAGAGATACTTTTAAAAACCAGTGATGGCCGAGAGGCAACTGTTCCTGAGACACACAGGACACCCTGACACCATCCCAGCACAGGTGGAAGCAGCATATGCCCCATGGTGATGGAAAGACAAATGAGTGGGAAACCCTCACTCCATGATTTTATTTATCCTTCCCATTCCCTATCTCCTGGATAAATGCAGGAATTCTGGTTTCAGGGTTCTTAGCAGTATGTTAGCATGGGAAAACCAGCTACGGGTGAGCAGGAGCCAGTTCTGTGACCATGGGTGTACATGGCCAATTGGCCAATAGCTAATTAATACTTGCCAAAGCAGGAGCACAATTCTCGATTCCTTGGACTACTTAAATCTCCTCCTCAAGCTGCAATGCTGGGTTGTGTCTCCTCTTTGCATGTTACTGTGCAGAAGAGGAGGAGAAGGAGCCCAGCGGGACTGAGCCTGCTTGCCCATGGGGGCACCACAGCCTGTGGCTGATGTTGAGAGACCAACCGCAGCGAGCACATCAGACCTGCTGCTTCTGCTAGCTTTTCACACTCCAAGTAATCCATTTCAAAGGAATGGAGCAAGAGGAAAATAGGATTGGGCTGTGGGAGCTAGTCCTGCTTTGGGCTAAGTTGGAGTGGGGGGCTTCTCGGTCTTGGCTCTTGGGAAAAAATTGCATGTATCATGTCAGATCAAAATGGGCATATTCTGGTCACAAAGAATCATAGAACGGTTTGGGTTGGAAGGGACCTTAAAGATCACCTAGTTCCATCCTTCCTAAGCAGGGACACCTTTCACTAGACCAGCTTGCTCAAAGCCCCATCCAACCTGGCCTTGAACACTTCCAGGGCTGGGGCATCCACCGCTTCTCTGTGTGAGGAGATCGAGATATTTCCTCCTGGGGTCCAAGTTAGCAGTGCTTCTCCTGCAGCTACTGAAGGGTTTGCTGAAGAAATGAACTCTTGAGTGGCCAATCACAGTGAATGCATCTCCTGTTTCAGGTATTCCCTTGTGCCTGTGTCCCTCAGCTCTGCCTGCCTCCTTCAGGGCATGCCCGCACCTGCCCCTGCCCAGGGTCATCTCTAAGGAAGCCAGGGCTCTGTCACATACACCCTTCACAACATAAGTCGTCCTGAAATGCAAGAAACACTTGAAAAAGAATGGGAAAACTCTGGGAAAACACCAAAAGTAAAGCGGAGGCTGCAGCTTTTTGCAGTGGCAATTATTTTAAGTGAACTGCCTGTAAAGATTTTGCAGTTTGAAGTGGCAGGTTGCGTATTTTGTGCAGACAAGATTGTTAACGTGTGAAACATGCTAAAAATTGACCGATAGAAGCACCTGGATATTTCAAACATAAATAGTGTGTATCAAAATAGCTACAGAGCAGATGGCCTGGCTCCCTGCACACCTTGCTGACCAGAATACTCGAGCAACACACACAGCCAAAATCTTGCTGTCTTCAAAGCTGATCATCTGCAAAGGCAAGGGTTATCCTCATGCTACCCTTTACCTGTCAGGCAAAAACACTCCTGCATACACTAATTAGTGTATTCTAGAGGGATAATGAACCCCAGGCTTGTTTGAACTTGTTACTACCCCAGCAAAGAAAATCACCTGTTCTAGAGCTCAGGCTCTCAGAAGTCGGTGAGATTAAAACAACTGTGAGCTGAAATCTGATCTACAGTGAAAAGAGCCCAAAACAGAGAGGGCTGGGTTTGCCAGCCCGCTCACAGCACTGCCTGTCGCTGATAAACATGAAACTGAATCTGTTTCTCACTCTCATTTTTTACCTTGGATGCTAAGACCAAACAGTCCCATTCCATGGATTAACCAGGATGTAAGGCTTTTCATGCCTTGTTGTATGGTTCAACAGATGTGAAAGGGGATTATCACTTCAACATGATATCAAGACTCCTTTTTTTTTTTTTTCAGCTGATGGCAGATTACTAAACCTGAATTCTTGTTTAATTTTAGTGTGTTAATTGATGGGATAATGAGCATTGATTATATGTGTTTTGGCTGCGTCATTGCAATTACAGGCTCTGTTTTATTCATGAGCCAGTCCTAAAGAATTCACTAGAGATCTAAGACAGCTTAAACCTCTCAGCAAAAGGCTCTGAATTGTTTGAGTAATGACACTCTTAGATGGAAAATTAAAGGTTCTCTTTTCCCATGCTTTTAAAGATAATTAAAATCCAGGAACAGTAAGGTGGTGAACATCCTTATTCATTAGCCTTCAGTAATTTAGCTTCTACTAAATGAGGAAAACATTTTAATTCTCTAGGCCATCTGTTGCAGTCTCCTTTGTGTGTCCTGTTACATAAAGTCTCATCCTGGATAGTTTTAACATCAGTATTGTATCCTTTCACCAGGAATGATGAGCTGGATGAGGTAGTTGAAGTCACTACCTATTAAAAGACCACCCTGGGATTAAAACGGCTGCTTGATCTTCCAGGTTGAAGTTATCCTGTCTAGACACCTCTAGGCAAAGGATCTGCAGAAAGGAGACCATGCACGGAGATAGGCAGCGTGACAAGCTGTGTGTTTTCTAATAGCGATATCCATGCCAATAAATAACAAAGTTCATCGGAGCCCTTCCAGTTCCTCTAATGTGCGACTGCTCTGCCATATGGCTCTGTGCTGCTTTTGGAAGCAGGCACTATCTGCAGAGGCTCCGTGCTGGATGCTGCTTTGGAAGCAGTTTGGAAGCAGAATGGATCTCCTCTTTGCACTGTGACAATGGAATAGAATGTGTTAGAGCAGGAGTGTGCTCACCTAGGATAAACTCTGGGTTAGGAATTGGGAAACACTTGGTTTCTGACTGTTATAGGAACAACTGGCTTTATAGCCTGGGACAAGTTACATTAGCCCACGCCAGGCAAGTTCCTCATTAAAATTATAATGTGTATAACTGAATGAATTCAGTGTCTTAGTCTTGATGCAAAGTTACATCCCTACAGGTCTAAGAGGATCCAGGCTCCATTAGTTTGGTTTGTTTCTGTCAAATTCTCATGTAAAATACCAGCCACATTACTTGCCAGCCCAGCAGGGGCTGCTGTAGACTGGTGTATTTAGCCGGGTAGTGATTACATTATTGACAGGCATGGCTGCAGGCAGGTTGCTGCCACAGGGCAGAGCTTGAATCCACCTGTTTGCTATTACTCGAGTTGCTTGGAGATCATAAACACCCTGGTCTCGAGATGTGTGGCTGCAGAGCAAGCATTCCCAGCACGGAGCAGCGCTCAGTCAATCAGCCAGCTCCTGCTTCCACCAAAAAAAGCCCTTTGTCTGCTGCAGGCATGCCCAAGGGGTAAGTCATTGCTTTGTTCTGTCATCTTGGTGATCTGCCATTTGTCTTGAAACTCATTATCTGGATGTGTTTGTCTCTATCACAAGCCAAACCTCTCTGCTCTGTGCTGGCTGCTCTGTAATTAGTTTCAGCACTTTAGCAAAAGGTAAGCAGGCTCTAGGTTTTTAACAGGAAGCAAGGGTGTGCTTCTCCCAGATGGGAGTCCTGCTGGGAATAAAAGCCAAGTGTCTGCTCCAAACTCAGAGCATTGATGAGGAGGGGATGACGGACCCCTCTGTACTTTCCTGGAGGTGGGCTTAAAACTGAGAAACTTCCTGGGCCTCTTTCATTATTCTGAAGAAATTATATGAAGTATATTAAAAGGTCATTCTCTTAAAATTAATTAATAAGCAGCTTTAGTAACAACTCCAGGCTACTTGCTTAGGTGAGGGATTAGAAGCTGTGTGATGTTCTGTGCTGCTTGCAGAGGCCACTTTCCATTGTGAAGGAAAGCCAGTCTCTCTTGGGAAGCCCTGAGTTCCTGTGGGGGACTAAATGCAACAGAAATGAGCAAGCTCACTCACAGAGAAACTGTACACCTCACACAATTCACTGGGTGATAACTGTGCCTCTCTTCTCTCTTGCTAGCAGCATACCCATAGCCAAGCAGCTGGCATCAATAAAAGGTAAGGGGACCCATTTATCACCTCTTGGGGGTTCAGGTCTTCCACAGCCCACATGCAGAAAATTCTGGTACTGTCACAGAACTGTGGAGGCCCTGCAGACCTTCAGCTGGGGCAAGACAAGAGGGTCTCGTGTCCCTGTGCAATGTGCTCCTGATTGATCACTTCTCTCCTGCCTTTTTGTTAAAAATCACAACCCAAATTGTCTGTGGTACCTGATTCCAAAGGAGGGATGAGTGTGCAGTCTCTAGGATGCAGCTCAGGAGCGGGGGCAATGAATCCAGCCAAAATCCCAAGTATACCATAATGCTGAAATGCAGCACTGGTGCTCAGACACGGACATTTCTGTGCAGCCAGGCTTCCCAGATGGGTCATGTTTTCCATGATGCAGGCCCCTGGGAGTCCAAATGCACCTGGTTAGCCAGCATGACCTGTCCCCATGGCATGGCAGGTCCTTGCTGGGTGCCCAGGGTCAGGGCAGACCAGAAGGGTCTCAGACATTGCCCTGTGTTACTGCTCTAGCTCCAAAGAAAAGCTTCCTTCAGGGTGTGATTCTGTAGGACAGGAGGCATGTTGCTGCCCCACTCCAAATAAAATCTGGGCCACGTCCTTTGTGGGTATAAACACTTTCAGTCTCATTAACTTTAGTGAAACTACACAGATTTCCACCCACCCAGGATGGTTCTGACAGATAGCTTTCAATTACATCTCAAATGCCATGTTTTTGGGTAGACTGATAACTTTTCCTCCCTTCAGCTCTAGGAAAAGGCTCAGACCTTGAAAAAGCTTTTGCTACAGTGGCTTTGGTGTATAACAACAATGCTGACACTGAGGGCAAGCTCAGCAGAGCTGAAACCAAGAGCTTGCTGCAAACCCAGTTTTGGCACTTCATACAGGTGAGAGGGTTTGGGAGAGTGGGTGGCAATAAAAAAGTAACTTTATGCTTAATTTATTTTTTTTTTCATTTAAAATCCTACATAGGGCCAAGAAAACAAACCAAAATACCAGGAGATAATTTCTGACTTGGATGAGGAGCCAGAGAACAAAATTGATTTTGAAGATTTCATGATGACATTAGTCATGCTCACTCTTATGTCTGACCTCCTGCAGGAGATCAAAAACGTGAAAACCACAAAATGATCTGTGCTTTAAAAGAAGAAATATCTTGGCACTTTATAAGGAAGGCATGAGTGAATTACACACAGATACAGCGTGTGCCTGGATACCTTGTGCTGGTCCCTTTTAAATGGAATAAAGTCTGGTCCAAAGCTGGCTGAACTTACTCCTCTCTAGAAACAGTCCAGGGAGTGAAAAGTTGGTGCTCAGGGCTCTGTGTCTGCTGTGTTGGTGCCTTGGGGGAGTGTGCTGCCTGACTTCCAGTTAATACCTGGTGCAGCCCCCAGCCCAGTTTCATGCCAGGGAAAGGCAGCCCATGCTCTCCCAGACTTTTCCATTCTCTCCCACACTATTGTGGGGAGATGATGGGGACACAACAGCAAAAATGTGCAGCCCCATCTCCCTTGGGTCAGGCCTGCCCAGCTCCCCCAGGCTCTCCCAGTTACCCCAGGGTGCTTCAGCACTGAGCAGGGTGTTGTTACCAGGGATGAGTTTCACAATTGGCAGTGGCCACAAAACGTGTTACAGCCTTAGGTAAACACTGACTTCAGCCTGTGGGGTTTCCACCCCACCATTAACCCTGCTGAAGGGAGCATTTATTTATACTTTTTTCCTCCTCCAGCTGACCTCTTCAGTGAGAGATCACAATAGAAGAATTTCAAGTCCAGCATTTGCAATGCATCTTTGGCAGCACCTTGCTTGTGTGACCAAAGGGCTGGCTCAAACATGCCAGACAGTTGAGTCTGCTGATTTGGGAAACTGTGAAAAGCAGAAACCACATAAGAAGTGGTCCAGACCAGGGACTGTGGAGCAAAAGGGTGGCCAGTAAATTGTTTGTACTGGAGCTGAGTGGTATTGGCTACCCAGCCATGGGCTTGGTTTAGGACCAGAGCCGTAGTATTAAATGCTCATCATCCTAATCTTTGGGTTGATTTGTACCTACAAGGTCCTGTCTAAGAGCCAACATTTAGCCCACTGTGACATCCTTTTGGGGCATAAAAAACAGTCTCATGCCTGAGGAACAGAAGAGCCTCTCTAAGGATGTAACAAGCCTCTCCCAAGATGAGCAAGAGAGCCAGCAAACCATTGCAGCCCTTTTTAATTTTTTTCTTCTTCCTTGGCTGGAAAGGAGAAGACAAGAATGATTTAGCTTTGGTGCATGAATTTTTAACAGGAGGGGATCAAACGCTTTGGTGTTAAAAGAGGGAAATTAATGCCAGCTGAGTAACGAGATTTAACTCCTTGACATAAAAAGGCTCTTAGTGTTTCCAGAAGCTAAGAGGATATTTTGTAATGGATTTTGATGCAAAGGAAAGACACACGTTGCAACAGGAGTTGTTTGGAGAGGGAAGGTCTGTGTCTCTGCGGTTTGTGATGGGGCTGAAGGAAGAAATGCAAATGGATGAGGTGGGGCTTGAAGCTCAGCAGGTAAGGTGCTGGATTTGGAGCTCAGCTAGGACACGGCCTGGTCTGGAGGCTAAACATTCTCAACTGGTCCTCTTACAAATAAAACCTGGTATTAGCAAAGCTCCTTGCTATGATGGTGAGTTGCAAGAATAGGCAGCATCAAACCTGTGGCAAATGGAGATGTCCTTCCTATACGTCCCCACTGAGAGACTGGTGGCCCCATGCTGTGAGGATGACTGCTCCCGTGGGGTGCCCATCACACTTCCCAGTGATGGGATATGGGAGCACAGGGTTGGATGAGGAGGGCAAACCTCTCTTCTAGGAATGTGTCCTCTGAGGACCCACCTTGACCAAGCACCCCAGATCAAAATGGGCACTTAATCTGGTGGCATGATCCATGCTGGTATCACAATTTCACATTTGATAATGTGTCCCTGGTGTTGCTCAGTGTCTCCCCCGATCCCCTTGGGTTTTGGCCAGGTAGAAGACGAGTGAATGCTTAAAATATCAGTGGATGCTCCTTTTCTGGGGTAGAAAGATAGACTGAACTTGATCTCTAGGCAACTTTCCTATTATTAAAGCAAAGAAAACACAGTCCAGCCCTGAAAAGATTATTTGGGAGCTACTGGTGACTCAGAAGGCATCGGTTTCCTGATATCATTCTGTTACAAAAAAAGACTGACATGAACAATATTGTGAAGCCAATTAGGAAAGAGTTCTTTAAAATTCTTAGGGCCCTAACACAGTTTCTGTTATTGCTGAAATGTTTCTAAATCTTACACGATTTGAATTAATGACTTAAAAGCCTTTTTTCAGACCAATTCGCTCTGTCATCTCACTGTATGCAACCCAATGCAGTGTATTGTGAGCAACATCCTGAATCCTTGGCTTGGATCAAAAGCCCCTTGTGCTAAGCACAGTGAAAATTCAAAGTGAGAAGCAATTCCTGGACAACTCAATAGCAAAGATATTCAAATGTTAGGGAAGGAAACAGAGGCACAGAAAAACCAAGTGCCTTGCTGAGCACATGTAGCAGAGCTGGAACTGGATGCCAGCCTGCACTGGGCTCCTCATGCAAAAGCCAAGAAGCACTGTGATGGTTTCTGCAACAGTTTCTGAGGCATGTGAATGGGATGTGCAAGGCTTGATCTGCATCAGTCCTGATGCTCAAAAGCAGAAGGATGGACCTTGAAGAGCCCCAGCACCTTATAGTTCAGAGTAGGCAGAAGTTTGCAGCTCAGCTATGGAAGATGCTCTTTTATTATCTCAGACTATTTGTGACTGCTCTGAGCACTCTCAGCGATCAGCTTTGAAGCTGATCTGGTGTAGACAGCATGTCTGGCTGCATCCTCAAGGAACTGGCTGAGAAATTGCTTGAAAGGCTACTGACGTGCTTTATTTTGTTGCTAACTTACTCCTATTGGAAGCAATGGGAGTTCATCATTGATTTCTCAGAGCAGAGCCCACACAAGTGCCAAGGAGTTGAGCAGCAACTGAATTAATGAAAGCTGCAGGCTCCTCTGCCTCAGCAAGTGGGAACATTATATCAATATCTGATACCCCCAGAAGAGAAGGTGGTATGAAGAGTAGCTAATCAAAACCTGACCTCCATGGGCTTTGGGTGGGGTTGGGTTGGGATTTGTGTAGTGACAGTGTTCAGGTGTGAGTAGCCACCCTGGGAGGTTCTGCAGACCTTGGATCTAAGCTTAAAGTTCTGTTCTGAAAAGTCTAAATCATCTCTGCAGCTACATGAGCTTTTAGATGACTTCCAGATGAGAAAGGGGGTTCAGAGACAGTTTCAGCCTCAGATCTTCAGATTCAATTTCCAAATATCAGCTCAGGAAGGCATGTTCATTCTCACACTTCAATTAGCACATCTACAGCTTCTCCCCATGACTTCTTACTTTGTATCTGGACTAAATTTTTGGCCTCCTGGACTTGAAATGTTTTGAATATCTGGCTTTGGTCTAATCTCCCAGGAGCTCTCACAGATTGCAGGAGAGCTTTCACAGCCCAGTCCACTGACTTTGAGCAGGTGAGTCGGGGCAGGGTTTTGCATGTTGAACTTTCTGCTGGGAGCCCAGGACCACACGCACAGTATGTACAATTTTTCATAAAACTTTCAGGAAAGAGAAATGCACTCTTCAACTGCCTTGCTGTTCCTGAACCTTCAGTAAGACCTCATGTCTGGGGCACCAGAGTCCAGGTGCTGAGGAAACCTTGCAGTCTGGGAGACATTTTGTGTCTCCTCCTCCCTCAAAGTAAGTGTCATGTTACTTTTTCATGTAAAATAAAACTTGCATACACCTTGCAAGCCTGTGTGTGATGCACACCCCATCCCAGGACTGCCATGTGTCCTAGCCCATGAAAGCTTCTCAGCAGCTACAACCCTTCCAGAGGTTACTGCAGCAGATCTCTTTGCAGAGAGAGGTGGAGGTTTACATCATAGCCTACTGAGGAAGAAGTTAATTGTGGCTGCATGGTAGGAAAACCTTGTTCTGGAGTGTTGGAATGACTCAGAAAGATGTTACGCGGGGCGTCCCCCTAGGACGCTCAAACGGAGCAGATGAAAAGCTTTGTCCCAGAATTATGTTCTCTCCAAAGTGTGATAGTTTGTGAGCCTCAAAGGAGCACTCTGAAATGCCTCCCGTAAAAAATAAAATCCCCTTGTTTCAAGCTCCGTCAGGGAAGATAGCTGTAGAAGAGATGCTGGTTTATGGCTTTCTGAACTGATAGCTTTTAATCCTGCATTGACTTTTGCTGTCAGTGGTTTACAAGGTTTCCAGTGAAGCTGTGTCTCCTCTCCTCACTTTGCTCATCTGCTGTTCCCTTACCCCAGTGTGTTTATAGCCCTCTATCTGAGGCTCATCCAGCAAAGGTAAACAGCAAATGATTTTCAGTTACCAGATAAATCAGGCTGTCTCTCTAATCCCCAATTGTGCAAAACAGCCATTAAACTTAGATAGATTTGGAGCCATGGGACTGATCTTTTATTCATTGTTATTGTAGAAGTTTGTGCTATGCATAGCCACAAAAAGAGTCAATCCCAGCACCCAGCACACATAGAGGAGCTGAAACCATGATGCCCCAAAATAAACATAAGGAAACTCATGGGGTCAGCCTAAGCCCAGTGCCAGGTGTCCATAGCAGAGGCTGGTTGTACATATCTAGTGTATTGCCTCGATGACCATTCCTCCTATTCAAAGGTTCCAGAAAGGCCAATTTGGAGAAGATCTGCAGAGGATCACAGGCAGTGCTTGGTTCCTTTGGGCCAAAATGCAAACTGGGGTTTATAGAGAATGAATGTGTAATGGCTTGCTAAAGAGCCACTGAGTCTCAAAGAGGACCTGGAGCACCAAGGGCTTCTGGGCAGGGAGGGACTCCAATGCCCAAGATGTCCCTCAGGTGATGGCTCCTCACTTGACAGCAGCACGAGCTGCAGCCCCTTGCAGGGCTGGTTGGCACCTTCACATTTCTGACACCTGCAGTGTGACCCCTGGAACCAAAGGGACCAATTTCCGTTTGTGATTTCCTTTTCCTTTTATTCCCCTTGCCATGACCCTACTTTCTTTGTTGCTGTCTTCTGGATCTTGGTGTGCAGAGAAACACAAACATGT